GAAGAATTGATTTTAAATAGTGATATGATGGAAAATGTGTTGTTGAAAAAGAAGAAAAAATTATTGATGTGATGAAAAATATTATTTTATTGAAAAATGTGTGGTTGAAAATGAGAATTAATTTGAAAATCAATTCTCAAATAAAAAACAAACACCCCCTTCATTCCAAACAGGAAAGTTCTCTATATTTTATAAAGTTCTAGATATTTGAAATATAGTTCTCGATATTTAACACTTGTGTCAATGAGAAGTATCGTATTTATTGTGATTTGACATATATACTTTTGAAATAAATATGGCGTGTTATGTGTCAAAATTTTATTAGCTAACAAATTTTTTAATTATATGCACATTTTTGTCTCTAACGTGGAATTATAAATTGTTAATAATGGTATTTTGGTCAAAAATATTGCAAAATGGACATTGAATAAATTTTGGACATTTTTACAAATACCCATGTGAAAGTGAACATTTATTATAATTTCCACATAAACAAAATAATTAATTACAAGTATTTATATTTGAACTAAAATATTATTTAATCCCGCATCTCCATTTCTTTGAATTGATTTTTTTTTTTTTTTTAGATATGGCATTAAAAGGTATGGAAAGATTTTGAATTTGTGTGTAAAATTATTTTATTAATAGAATATCCGTTTGAAGATGTGCTTTGAGTAAATGAACTTAAAATGGGTGCAAACATGAACTCGTAGATTTAAAACAAATGGAATCTTAAATACATACCTATCATCCCCAAGTAAAATAAAACTAACATTTTAAGTTGAAATTTATAATAAATAGAGTATGATCATGTATCGTTTTGTAAGTTATAAATTATTTTCTTGAAAAACTTTGATTCCAACCAAAAACATCAAATTAATGGTCATGTAATTTTTCTAAAATTAGATTTTATGAAAAGTAATACAATTAAAAAAGTTAGAAAAAAATTATAGATTCATGTGTAAAATTGTTTTATTAGAAGAATATATGATTAAAAGAATTTGAAAAAAGGGAGAATTAAAGCGAATGTACCAAACTTTTTATTCAGTAGCAGATTTGATTCAAACATTTCATTTATGCCACCATAGATACCAAACTTTTCAAAAATTTGCAGTTCAAGTATAAAATGACAGTTTTTGTCAGTTTGACATCAAAAACCGTCAGTTGATCCAATAAATTAAAAATTTAATAACTTTTCCCAAATAAGATAATGGTGTTTTGGACATAACACATTTTTCCTATTACAGAAAAAAAATTGAAAAACAAAACCACCTCCACCCCCTTCTTCCCCAACCCCATTATCCCAAAACAAAAAATGCCCCTACCCAGCGTCAGTCGCCAC